AGGGGAGAGGGCACGGCAGGGGAGCAGGATTCCGGGACGGGCGGCAGAACCGGCTGGTACTCCTTTCCCCGCTCGCGGGCCGCACAGTCATGCAACTGGTACTGAGGTGTATAAGAGTGATATGATGAGCGCTGCACCGGGCGTATGGGACCACCTAAGTGTAATTATGCCGGTGAGTCAAGTGAGCACAATGAAACATCACGGAGCGTGCACCAGTTTACAGTCGGAAGTTAGTGCCAGACCGAACAGTGCACATTGCACGTGGTATGTGAAATGAAAGGGCCTGCTCTTATTACTGGGCCCCTGTATGTGGTTCCTGCTTGGCATGTTTTAGCTTATTTTCATGCACCTAGCAAGAGAAGCAATCAGTTGATTAGGAATAGGCATTGGAAACAATACAAAGATGTTATCAGTTGTAAAACCGTAACACAATGAGCCTACAGCAATAGGAATGATTTATTGATTGTATTCATCTTCAAACTTTTACACGAATACCGTAAATGACACGCCTAGTTATCATTGATGTCGTCAAACATCTCACTCACAATCAAAATTCAAAACATCCATGAATAAATAATACACACTTCACTATTTCTTGTCTCAATATTGCTGTGTCTAATTGCAACGCATGACTTTGATCAGCACTGCACTCACATACACATACGCGACTTCTTATTTACTACTTAACATGTAGTGCTCAACTACGATATATGACGCGCACATTCTACATCTATAAGCTATCGAGATCAATGACTCCCTCCTCTCGAGTCCAACCGTTAAAGCGCGTAGGAATGAGTTTTATGCTCGGAGCATTCAATAACAGCACACTGCGTGCTACTGCGGTGCGCACTTTTAGTGTCTTTTTCACTATATGTGATCGCCATTGGAATCTGAGGCGGTACCGGCCCGAACCTAAGCCCCCGTTTCAGAAATGGCGGCATTATCCATAAGCCGCCGGCCCAGTTTAGGTGTTGGAGTTCTTTCAGATGTTGGAGTTCAATGGTGACACGCAGCACTGCTGTCGCCATGACGGCGCGTTCACGCTGCCTTCCAATCGTCGAATGGCATTGGGGGTCTTTCACCAAAGATTCTCAGCAGCGTCAATCCCCCACTAATCAGTAACAGGGGTAGTAAGTTGAGTGGTAACAGAGAAGTTCACTCTCTGCCACAGCTGCCAGTTGGAGGCAGATTCACTTGGCGATCAGCAGTGACGGCGGAGGTCGGGGGACTTCACTCGGATTTCAGCAGCAGCAGCGATGAGCGAGCGGTGCCGTCCTGCATCGCAGAGCGGCTGCTCATCTGGCCAGAAGAGGGATCCTGCCGGTCAGAACGAGAACATGATCAATATCATTAGGCTATAAGTTTGTACCACCGCTTGTGTCTCATGACAAATAGCAAACTTGAAACTCGTCTTTCCTTTTTGCGTTTTATTTAAGAAATTGTCTCTGGCCGGGCAAAAGCGGAATAAAACAGTCATGAGAACCAGAAGCAGTTTCCTTTAGACCTTTCTTTTTAAATGAAAAGATTAGATTCCTTAGGAAACTTAGGAAAACAGCGAAATGTAATAGCTGCACCAAATTGTAATTATAATCGTAATGCCGGTAATTGTCTAATAAAACTCAGCCATTTGTATGAAACATAATGAATTGTAACAGCTTTGGTAATGTGTGCCCTGCCCCACATAAATCGACTCTTTGTAGATACTTTCTTGCTCATTTTATGATTGGTTTCCCAGGAATGACAAATGGCTGGAATGCATTTCGTACCTCCAATTTATTCCATTAATCGCTGCCAATTCGTACGCTGGAAGTCACATTCACTTAAGAAGATTACCGAAAAGAAACCGATTGTATTTGCTTAGGGCTCCCGTAACTCATATTTGAGAAACAATGGTGCAGCTGACATTAGTGTAGCTGGTTGGTCGAACAGGATGGTAAAAATAGTAATAAAGCCGGTTTAAATAATAATGCACGGATGTGAACTGCATTTTTTCTTTAACTTCTTTTTTTTCTATGGTTTATGACTTTTGTTGCTTTAAGTTGTAAATTTCCGGACCTTCATGTGTTTATTGTTTACCACAAAATAAATCTTATAAACTCCAGCATACACAAAAGGCAGTCATATGTACACAAATTTACAGACATTATTTCTGATAGTGGTGTAGAACTAGTGGTGTAGAACTAACGCTGACATAAGGATAGGCAAATGGGAACTACGTCAAATATCTGGTAGCATCTTCAAAGCTATCCACGATTCTATATCCGACTATAAATATTACTTTACTAGTTAGATGGCCTGCACTTTATTACTACGGTACTTTGTGTTGCTTCGGTAACAATCACTGAAAAACTAACAAAAACTCCAGGTCTAAAGAAGCAATTGTTGAATTATTTCCAGACATAAAGCTATCAACTCCAAATCATGCTTCTAAGGTAAAATCTAAAAATTCTAAGGTAAAAATTCTAAGCTTGTAACCCAAATAGCACAGATTCACGCAGTTCGCAGTTCGCACGTCTCCCGCCCACGGGATGAATGGCCGGGGAAGCGGGGAGGGTGGGCGCGGTGTCTATGTCAGGGGAGCCAGCCAGCACCGGGCGGCCGTCCGGTGGCTGCCGAGTCCCACCATTTCTGTAATGGCCCGCTCTCCGGCGCCGAGAACGGCGGACAAATGAGTGCTGTCACCGGAGCGCAGCGCTCTATTACACCGCACAGCCGAGTCGTCAGGCCGAGTCGGCTCAGTTGCTGCTCCGAGACACGCTGTTAATCCGGACCGAGGCGGCCGCGACCGGATGGAGAGCAGGGCAAATTCGAAAACGGAGATTTGTAAATGCCAAAAATATATTAGGGTTGCAATAGGCTTCACAAGTACTTGCTTATATTGCGTGTCGTTGCTTAGATAATGTTGATTGACGGTGAATTTATTCGACTTTGGACAATGGACATGACACTGAAGTGTCATTACCGATCAAATACTCGTAGAGGCAGGACTGAATGATCTCCTGCTTTTCGCTGTACTTTGATCGAGCGTCACCAGAGACTAGGTCATCTCATCGCCATCCGGTAATCAATGAACATTTTAGAGTAATTATTTTGCCGTCGCGCACGGTACAATCATGTTAAAAGGCTAGGCAACAAGTCGGGGCGTTCGGTGGCGCATTGTAGGCGGCGGCGCGGCCTGACTGATTGCTTTCCATTGAGGCTCGGCCGAGCCGAACGCGGCGATTAGCCGCCGCGCGGCGACAATGGCGCACCGTGCTGGCGTAATCGCCGCATCACTGCCAGCGCCGCGGCACGTCCGCCGCGCAAAGTCGGCCGGCGCGCCCTCATTAAATAAAACGACGCCAAAATGCATTACCGCGCGCGTCACTATGAAAGCCACAATTGAACTGTGCTGAAAGGCCGCCGTGGCGCGACGCGCGGCCGAAAGCGGAGCCAGAGCAAACTGGGCCGTGTTTGCCTGCCACGGCGACCCGCCGGTGACAAAGAGGGCCGCTGCCGGCAGCGACGCTCGGCCAGCGTCGGCGGCGTCGGCCACTACAATAACTACTGGTGATGCCGGCACTGTTTGCCCAGTCGCTGCTTTGTTACCGCTAATATAATTGCGATTGTCCGCTGCTCGGTAGGTCGATGGCCGGCAAAAGATCGCTGGGTGGCGAAATGGCCGGCCGGCGCCTCGACACCGGCTCGGCCAATGGTCGGGGGCGGCGGCCGGGGCGGGCGGGGCTCCTGAGGTGCGCTGGTTCCTAGAAGGTGGTCAAGGGGCATTGGGGTAGATGACCGACAACTGATTTCATTTGAAGCATGGTTGATGAATTTTATTGCAGCTACGTCAGCAGTTTCTATTTAATATGTTTGTTCTTGGTCTGTCTTATGTAGGTATGTGAAAAGATAGCTATAAAAAGTGAGGAGCCTGAGGTGATGGACAAGGAGTGAGGATGCAATACAAATTATCATAAAACAAAAATGCAGTTAGATTGGCCTAGAAAATGCATATCAAACGTGTGTGGTATTTCAATCAAGAGCTAAGGTCATTTTGGATAAGTACTCTTCATCATAGACAACCACTCTATCAGAAATTAAACGACTGGGCTGCGCCAATCGCTTGGAACATCAGTCACGCAATCGTGCTGTTAAATTTATTGGTTTTCAAATCACCTGTGAAACACGCTAACCCAGTTAGTAGACTGATAGGTCATTCTAGTCACCAACCCATCCTACTTAACTACGAAGTTTGTAGTGCCGCGAGTGATTGGGAGAATAATCGGCAATAATTGTTGAAGAGCGGAGAGCGTCAACTGTACAGCAAAGTATGCATGTGTAATGTGTACGTTTAATCATGTCTATAGGTATGTGCATTAGGTTTGTGCATTAGGTATAAGCATTAGTATGCGTATAGTATAGGTATGTAAATATTCCATTGTTCATTCCTCACGTTGGGTACCCACCTGCGTGGTGTCAGCGGCCGCGCGACAGTCGTCCTCCAGGGATTTTCGGCGCTCGCCATCCTCGGCGCTCTCCTGTGCCTCCTGGCTCCGCAGCTGGGCCTCCAGGGACGCGCGCGCCCGCACCTCCGCCTCCAGCAGCGCCTGGCCTCTGCTGACCTCCGCCTCTCCGTCCGACAGCCACGGCTGGCGCAGCGGCCGGAACGCCGAAGCAGCGGCGGCGGCGGCGGAGGCGGCGGCCGGCGGCGACTTGGGCGGCTTGATGGCCGGCGGCTCTGCAGACAGCGGCAGGCCGGCGTACAGACCGGAGTAGTCCACCAGGCCGCCGAGCATGGCCGGCGCCGCCAGCGGGAACCCAAACGCGGCCCGCTTGGGCCAGAGGTGGCCGGGCGCGGCCAGCGGCGCCAGTTCGGCCCACTTGCCGGCCGGCCACAGGTAGTCGGAGAAGGACGGCGGCTCCAGCGCCGACAGACGCTTGTAGGCGCCGAACGCCGGCAGCCGCGGGAAGCAGGCGGCCGCCGGAGGGGCCACCAGGCTCGGCGTCGGCCGCACCAGGCTCGGCTCGGGGTAGGAAGTCACCAGGTCGACGGCCGACGTGCCGCTGGGCTCAGAGCGCGCCGTCTTGGCCGCGGGCGCCGCCGCTGCCGCCGCCGGCCCGGCCCGCTTCCTGGTGCCGCCGTTGAACATGGCCTTGACGTCCTCCCAGGCGTGCACGATCTCCTCCGGCGGACTGCCGTGCAGCCGAATGTGGCGGCGCCACGAGTTGAAGTTGGCCGCATCCGGCTGCACGTACGTCGCCTCGGCGGTCCGGTGCGAGTGAAAAATGAACTTGTTGGGTGAGAAGAAGGTGGCGCACAGCGTGCACTTAATGCACTTGGCTCGCGACGAGTTGTAGCGCGCCGGGTAGAACTGGCCCTGGCAGCCCCAGGCGCACTGGTGCAGCACGTCGAACGTGAAGTTGTCGGGCAGCTTGGGCGGTGAGTTGTCCCCCAGGAAGCTCTTGCAGAGTCGCTCGGCCTCCCTCTTGGTGATCATGCCGCAGCGCCGGCTGGAGACGGGCATGGCGCCGGCGCGGCGCAGAATCTCCAGTTGTACGGGCGTGCACTGGATGCACGTGATGCCCAGCGCCACGCGCCGGTTGTGGATCTCGTTGTAGCTGAAACTCTTGAGCAGCGTGTTGGAGATCTGCGCCAGGCAGAGCCGGTCCTTGCCGTCCATTGTCAGTGAGACGATGGGCACTCCGTAGAGAACGACCGTGCTTACCTGACGGCGAAGATCGGTGGGTTAAATACGTGCGCTGTTCTCAAATTAAAAACACTTATTAGAACGGGCGTGCCGGTAAGAGAAAAAGGCTGCACACATTTCTACCAAAACACCTTTTTATTATTTCCTGTGTTGAATAATTTATTTCGTTTCATTCATAATTCAATGGAATCGTGACCATTGAAATTGCATTGCAGTGATGGTAGTTCATTCATAACCCTAGACCCTAGCTCTCATTGCAAGCTGTTACAAATATCCTGGCTTCGTTTGAAATGGATTTTTCTAGGGAAGCTAATAAATCACTTGGCAACAACTATAGCAGCATGACGTCACCGATTGACCTGTCTCATAATTGCAACAACTGTTCTCTTTTCCCAATAACGGTGCTGTCTCCACTCTGCGTCACCCCCAGCGCTCCCACCTGGTTATGCGCCGGCGTCTGCGTGTCCTCGGCGTCGGAGGATCCCTCGGAGCGGCTGCGGCCCGGCTCAGTGGCCCCCGCCGGCCGTCGGACGGTCGAGTCGGGTATCTCCATCATCGCGCGGCGTGCCGTGCTGGCCTGTAACCAATCAGGTGGCCGTGTCACCGGAGCGCGCCCCACCGGCGCGGGTAAACAAGGCGCCAAATCACCGGCTGGGCGCGGCCCGTCCGCACTCGGTGACCGGAACTTCCGGAGGTACTCCGACCGGAGCGGGGGACCGGAGTGGGGGACGCGGAAGACTGGAGTAGGACGCGGAGGACTGGAGTAGGGGACGCGGAGTACGGGGTTCGGAGCAGGGAAAACGTGAAAGGAGACCCGGTGCAAGCAGGGATCCCGAGGAGGTATTCATTGCTGATGATTGAAGGCATTGGGCATCTCCCGTCCTGCCGCTTTGGATGTTAGCTAAATTTTCGATTCCAGTCAAAATATGCGTATCAACTTAAGTATACGAACATCCACACATTCCTCTTAGGCTGGAGACTTCCAGTTTGCGGTTAACTCGCGTTTATTTTGGTGGCTAACTTCCTTACACGCGTGTAGCTGCCCACCAACTTTTACCCGGGGACTTCCATCCGCGGTTAACTGGTGGGTAGCTACACGCGTGTAAATATTTAAATGCCGACTTACACGCCAGTTTAAAGGGCTTCCCGATCAGCTGATCGGGATGCGGCGATCAGCTGGTCCAATGAACAAGTGCGAAATTCCGTTATTTATGGGACCGGTGGCCCCCAATCAGCGTTTTTGCACATGCAATGAGTACAGCCGTAACAATGGGATGTGGTGATGCATTAACCTAACCAGAACAGCGTTTGAAGCCGTGCCAATCAGCATCAGTAATGCTAATCGCCTTGTGTTATTTCACTCTGTATGGCCGACCGCCAGTCTACTGCATGATCTTGCAACAGCCGTATCTCAGATTACTCGTCTGCCCTCGTCGGTTCGTCTCCGTCACCCCCCGTCCTCACCCCCGCCCCGTCACTTCACCGGTGAGGCGTCGTCGGTGTCCAATGCATTGCCACACAAAGGACGATTATCACCGAGTGATCAGTTCAGTGGCGGATCCAGGGGGGGGGGGCTGCGGGGGCTGGCAGCCCCCACCCAAGGAAAACTGGCGCCACTGCGCCGAAGGCGCAGTGGCGCCAATTTTCAATTCGCAACTCATCGGAGTGCCGCATACTAGGACTAGGATGCAAAAATCAGTCGAATAACGTCGTTTCAGTACGCTCCGCACCGATATTTCCAATCGTGTGGTGTTACTGTACATACTGATCCTGGGCGCCTCTTGTCAGGGCCACTGGGCGCCAATATTTCAGCGCCAATACGATGCGACTATGGCGCCCATCCGGGGCGTGGCGCCCAATTATGACCTGCAGCCCCTCCCCAGTGAAAATCCTGGATCCGCCACTGGATCAGTTTAATATGTGCGTGTCGCGGGGGTGGCTGACGTTCCAACGGCGCAGGATCCGGTCCACCACCAGTGCCCATTTGCTGCCGTTTAAACCGCTAATGGTTCTTTTTGGCCGTCCTTTTCATATCTCTCCAGAGCTGTGTCAGCTGTTTCTAGTCCCATTTTTCTTCTGACTAGAGGTGGCAAAATGTGGACCCGAGGACCCGGTCCAAAGAACCAGTCTGGACCCATATGGGTCCAGACCGGTTCCTGGAAATTTTCTGACGGGTCCAACCGGGTCCTACCATAAACTATACATCTTGCACACTACACATTATTGCAAAATATGAAGTGAATTAAGTGAATGTTTCTTTGCACACAGTAGCTCATGAGTATTCCCCATTGGAAATAGGCTGTTTTACATGATGCAGCTGCCAACTAATGATACCTACAAGTAGTTTGTATTAATTGACTTTTGGGAAACGGGTCCAACTGGTTCCGATTCCAACTAAGACCGGGTCCGACTGGTTCCAGAAATGTCCAACCGGGTCTGGTTCGAGTCTGGTTCCCAAAATTTTCATCTTTTGCCACCTCTACTTCTGACCTTGCATTACAGGCTGTAACAATGTTCTTCCAAGACCGTTTTCGTTCTTCATTACTCCTTCCATCGTGTCGCTTATTTTTGATGACTTTTACTTCAGTCTTCATGACATCGGCTAACAAATGCATGTCTCTACTACTGAAATTTCTGCTCCTCTTCTTCCTGTCCATGGTTGTTGACCGGACACTCGTATTGCTTCCACTGAGCTGGTCCTCGCCCCACTGACACGTAACGCGAAGTGCGACGACAGGGGCCCGACACTAGCCGGCTGGCTCGACGATCACATTATTTCGGATGCGATACGAATCCCATCTCACTATCCCGAAGATTACGAAATAGCAGCTGGTGGCAAGGAGATAGGTGCGATGGAAATAGACTAATACCTCCGTATTTGAAAATTTGAGTCCTACATCCTCAATTCTGTCAACTCAAATATTGCTCTGATTACTCATGTATGACTTGTTGAAAACATCTGGATACTTGCAGTGATGAAATACGTAATTTGTAACCCCTCAACAAGCACAGAGGCCAGTTTAACCAACAGAAAAATAGCCGCCTGGCAGAATTTTTTGCCTAAAGACCGTTTCACATACGGAGTGGAAACGCGATAAGCACGTAAGCGGATAGGGCTTTACCGCTCTCGATCCGTATGTGAATCGGCCTTTAGGCGAAAAATTCCGCCAGGCGGCTATTTTTCTGTTGGTAAAACTGGCCTCAGTACTATGAAAAGGTGACCTCAAATTCGTCTAATCTTAGCAGCCGAACGGCTAGGCCGAACTGGCTGAAAAAGCCTGAACTAGATGATTGCACTATTGTCTATCACTTGCACTTAAAATTTGCACAGAAATAAACTTTTAAAACCCCCTAAGGACCAAAAAAAGCACCACCGAAAAGATACCCGCGAACTTAATACATGGGGTGGCTCGCGTGTAAGTTCGGTCGCTAACTTAGCGAACAAACTATTTACCCGCAGATGGAAGTCTCCGGGCAAAGTTACCCGCCGACTTAAACGCGAGATAAACGCCAACTTACCCGCAAACCACTTACACGCGACTTACCCGCGTGTGGAAGTCTCCAGCCTTAAAATCATATTTCGCAAAGCAGTTGCACGTAACAGCGCAACACCTGATAGCATGTTAGATAGCGAGCCATGACTGCTCTAATCAACGATCGGCACGAGCCATCAGAGTTTAGATCGTATCTCAGTGTCGTTCCCCGTGTGTTATTTAATCCGCCGGTGGATATTCTTTGACTACGGCTGTTCCGACGTCCACTGATGACTTCAGTAACAAAGCCGGCGGGCTCGGAACGTGTTCCTAAATTAATTTAACCGGTAATCTGAAAAGTTAATTAGCAATGAAACGAATTAGATCTCAGGAGGCTAAATGGTGTAATTTGAATCAACTTGTGTAATTTGCGTGGAATGATAATTTGATGCGATTAATTTGCACAAGGTTATTAACGATGATGGGATGACATTGATGTATGAGTAGATGGTGGCCATTAACAACTGCATTCAGGTCTGTTTCGAGCCAATGACATATGTTTTAGCCAAAACAAAAAGCAGGATGCAGAAAGGAATGATTGCACACTTCTAATTCCATTGTGGCTTGCTATACCTATGCGCACAAATATCATTTGAACTAAAAACATTGTAAACAAGACAGGTACGAAAAAACACCAGACCAAAACAATACAAAACCACTAACCAGTGCCACAATACAAAACGACAAGGCTGATACAAAACAATACGAGAGATGAGGGGCTATGTTCGTGTCCTCGAGGTCGACTGGGAGAGAGCGGCGAAGCCCCGGGGATTCACGGGCCCGGCTAATCCCATCAGAGCGAGTCGCTACAATTGAGTGAAACAATTTGTCGGCCTAACAGGCAGTTTTGCATATTGACAGATTTTCATGAATACGAAATCGTGTCGGCGTCGGGGTGTGAGGTGATGTGATTGCAGGTGGACCGGAAGGCTTGTTTGGCGCTGCTGTGCTCAGCAGCGGTGGCCGGACGGGAGGGGACCAGGCGTCCAGCCGTCTGGACTTGATAACGGCTGAATCAACAACGACCGGAAGGGTTGTCCAGCCGTCCACTGCAGTGGAACGGCACGGCCGGCAGGAGAGAGCCTCATTGTGGGAGAGGAATGGGCACCTGCTTATACGGCGGCACACATTTGTAGGCCTGTGCACTGTCCGCTTCTCGGCTGTTGTGCTTTAGCATAATGGACACAATGAGCATAAATGCGATGACAAGTGTAATTTATTATCGATACAAGTAAAAGCATGAAGCCAAGAAACTGCACTTGTGAATTGTGATCCATCTGTCCAAGAAAACAACGACTTCTTCTTTTGACGCAATTAGGTATCTCATTTGCGATAAACACTCAAGCAAACTAGGTAGACACATTTCAGTTACTGACGAATCGCACTAGCCGGCTTCTAACTATAAACGTAATTGAGAATAACTACATGTCTGGCTCGAATCACCCCTCAATAAAATACAAAACAGTTCACTGATTCACAATGGACACGAAGGCCTCTGTCTTACTTTTCAGAATGACCATACGCTACACTTTACCCTGATTGTAAAAGGGTGCTTTAATTTGCCTGCATAATCCAGTAGAGTATCTAAGCTGGTGGTTAATTTCTTAAAGCAAGACCTAATCGCCGTGATGGACATGTAGCTAATGTATGGCGTCATATATCGCGTTTATGATCGCCATTTCCATTTCCATTGTTGTTTACCTATGCATGTGAGCAGTGCGATGGAAAAATGCACTTGCAACGATTTACGATGCCGTAGCCGAATGCAGGGAGCGATTATGCTGTATATTTAAGCGACGATGTATGTTTGAGAGCGAGCGGCACGGCGGCCAGGCCAGCCGTTCGAGGCACATCAGAAATCCTAGATTGGTAAAAGGTTTCTAATGTCAGAGACGAGGCGGCCGGTATGATTGCACTGGCGGTCGCTGATTAGAGTGGGCCGCTCGGCGGCGCGCGCTGTGTTTGAGGACGGAACTGTCGGGCCGACGCCGAGCCGCGGACACTGATCGCCCCCCGATACCGACCGGCCGG